ATTTTTTGACCGAAAACATGGTTTCGTACTTCGTTTTCCTCAGCTCTGGGTAGTCGTAGAAACATAATTTTTTCACCAATATAAACGAGAGAAGTTAGGTTTTTCTAGTTTTCTAGGTTCTTAGTTTTTAAGCTAACCTTTTTTTGTGAATCTTGTTTTTTTAAACAAACTAGATCGTAAGTTACTTAACGAGAATATTGATATTTAAAAAAATTGTAAAAAATCAGCCACTTGACTTAAATAAATGTTTTTACCATATACATTTTTCTGAAAATCATATTTACAAATTGGCTAGCGAAATTGTCTATGAATTATATTTAAAAGAAATTTTTTTAAAATATTAATTTGAACAAAAGTTATTTCATTTGTCAGATCTCTGTGGGACAACCTGTATAAAGATATTACTAAATTCGAATACTCTTGCCACTACATTTCCACGGAAAGCCATCGAGAATTGCAATAGTATAGTAAGGAAGTGTGCTCAGCTCCCATATCAACACACATTTGTTCGAAACATMTGGATKTCRACGGACGAGTTTKGATGAAGTTAACGATTTTAATAGTTGATTGCAATACCTCATCAAGAGATGGGCTGATAGATTTTGAAGCGAGAGCTTCTCTGTGAATTATACAATGAGTCCATACAGCAAATGGTGCTTTTCTTTTAATGAGGGCTTGAAGTCCGTTGTAACATCCTGACATCGAACGAGCTCCATCAGTACAAATACCACAGCACATTTCCCACATTAAATTATTTTCCATTATGAAAAAATCGAGCATTTGGAACAAATCTACTGCTCTAGCTTGACTTTTAATAGTTCGGCAAAAAAGATCTTCGTGAAAAACGCCACCATCTATAAACCTCACGTAACAGATAAGGTGGCCATCATTATTATTATCAGTGGCTTCGTCCAGTTGTAGAGAAAAGTCCTTGCCTTTTAATTTATCTATCAACTGATCGTTAATATCTTCAGCCAAATCAAGTATTYTGCGACTAATAGTAGWATCTGATAATGGTATGTTCATTAATTGCTTGGCAGCAGCCTCCCCAAGCATAATTAATACCATATCCATTGCTGCCGGTAAAATGAGCTKTTCTGCGATAGTGTGTGGTTTTTTACATTTAGCGACCTGATAAGCAACTTTGTAAGATGCAAGCAGAGYCTTAGAAGGGATCTTAGCATGCTTGGCAAAGGTTGTCTTTTGTTCACGCATTGCTTTTAATTTTGACTCAAAATATGTACGTGGTTTGTTTTTCAAAGTTTCATATACCGTTTCCAAATGACGTTTCATTTTATTAGGGAGCATGCTTTCAACAGCCATCACTTTGAAACAAATAACACACTGTGGACGTTCTTCATTCTCCACTACCGTATACGTAAAACCATAATCCATGTAACTCTCATCATATTTACGGTGTTTTGATTTTCTTACAGTATTAGAACTATCAAATTCCGGATTATCACGTTTAGGTCTGTTCAAAAATTGATCCATCCTGATAAAACTCTAAAACTTAACTAACATGAGAAAACTATCACTTGTGTACATGTAAACACGTTAATAGTCAATGGATAAACACAACTCGCGACTAATATTGCCAAACACGACATACGCACTGATAATTTAACGATGGCCGACTTACGCGACCAATTAAAGCTATATTTAGTGAATGATTGTTGTAGAATGTAGACAATTCAATGTTTCCAAAACGATGTGCCTCAATGATAATAATAAACGTTTTTCGTAAAAATATTTTATTAATTAAAAATAATTTATATTAAAAATATTTTAAAATATTTATTGGTTTTCAATTATATGACGCKGCTYCCTTCGACAACTCCCGCGACGCACAGTTTGAATACCTCTGATATTGATGAATCTTCAACTTCAATAACCCAATTTTTGCAGGATATTGAGAATTGTAGTAAATTAAATGCCAGTGTTAAAGGTAACAGGATGTCTGCGTATTTTTTGCAAGAATTAGCAAAAGACGTTAAGCGAATTTGTAAGCATTTTCCATTGTGGACTGCAGTTATGCCGTCTATATTTAATTCACCATTTAAAATTGCAACATCAGCTCCAGTTGAAAGCGATTTTAATGAGCTAGAAAATCTAATTTTAAAACATGCTAGTCGCCCGATGACTGCTGACCGTTTCATACTTCGTCACATCCAAAGTATTGATAGTAACTCAAAACTATTTCGCAGTTCTCAACTAAGAAATGATGCTCTTGATAAGAGTCCAACAACTACTACATCGTTAGTTGAAAATGATTTTGTGTCTATTGATCCTTTTTAGTCATCCGATGATGATATAGAAATTTGGCGTGGTAAAGGTGAGGAACCAATTACAAGCATAACATTGAAAGAGAATAACAAAAAACAAAAAATATTACACACTTCTAAGAATACTGCTAACAAAACTAAGTCTGAAGCAATCATAAAAATAACAAAACAATTATTTGATAATTTAAGTACATCTTCAATTTCAGACGATAATGAAGAAAGTGCATTCATTGATATATTTGCCAATTGCCAGATTTAGCATGAAAATAAAACCAGTGAAATCGTTATAAACGACATACACGGTCTTCTTAAAAGAAAAAGTCTAAAATCAAAAAGCAGACCCACAAAATATATGCAACCAACACCTGAGATTGAACGAGTTTTATGTGATCGAAACATCAGGTCTAAACATGAAAGCTTATTATTAAATGGTAATTTAAAGACTCCTCTGCGGATGAACAAAAAACGATATTTAATTAGCAACACATGTCCGTTCGATTCAGTCGTATTTATTATAGCTATAGCATACATAGACAGCGATTCATACAAGAAATTTGTTGAAGAACAAACAAATACTCTTTTACGTTTTTGCAAGAATTTGGCTTCAGGTGTCATGGTGTATATAAAGAAAGAATAAATATTCTTAAGGAATTGTTTACAGAAGACGAAGGTGTTACTGATGTTGCTTTGATAAATACAGAGTGTAATGTTCTTTTTATTTGTACGTCCTTACTAAAAGACGTCCCATCGGCAATTGAATTTATTAATTGTCGTAACCTGAAATGTAAATCAACAAAATATCCATGCCCAACAATCATTTTAAAATTCAGTAATAGATTAAAAATCTAGAAAATGATTTGAAAAAGTATACAAAAGAAAAAGTTAAAGAGTGCTCAAATTGCAATGATGTTATGGCAATAAGTAGGCGAGAATTAGGACAACATTCAATAATTGAAACTGATTCCTACTCAAAAAATCGAAAATTTATTTTAACAGAGTTTCCCACTGAAGTCAACGTTGAAGGAAATCTGTAAGTATAGCTCAATACTTATTAAACTTTGATAAAATTGTTTTATAGTGTAGACCATAAAATATACAAATTTATATTTTTTAATCATAATTAAAACCATAAATTTGTTACATTGATAGGACGGAAACCCCTGATTTTAGTAATGTTAAATGTACAAAAAATTTGAAGATAAAGTAAAATCAATAGTTAGGCATGACTATATAAATGTATAATTTTAAAAATATTTTAATTGTTCACAGATATAAGCTATTTGGGGCCGTCGGTTCTAACTCTAGACACTATGTATCTTATATACGAAGGTTCAGTGGAAAATGGGAAATACACAACGATTTGGAAAAGAAATAAAATTTAAAAAAAGTTTAAATCTGGAAACAACAAAAATGAATAGGTACCGTAAATCCGGGTGAAAAGAAACACTTTTGAACTTTGAAGTATCATAAAAACTTATCTATTTGGGCTACAATGCTGATTAGTACATCAAAATACTGGTCTTTCCGAGTACTCTAAACCTGTCGATTCAAAAAAATTTTATTTTCAATAAATAATTTTATATATTTTTTAAGTGCTATGTTTCTATTGACCCGACAGTTGGTGACAATAGAAATATTTATGACTTTTTCATACATTTTTCTATTATAGCAACAGGATGTTGAATAGAAACAATTATTGATATTTTTAAAAAATTGTACACAAATTTTACTATTAAAATTTTTTTTTTTATTAAAATACGACGAAATTTACCAACTGTATCAATAAATATGAAGAAAACAAAATAAAAATAAAATTAACATTTTAGTCTTTTACTTTCCAGTCTTTGGATTAACTTATTTTATAATATTAGGTAACACACATAAACATAACTCTTATAATGTAAATGTAAATACATCATATGAATAAATAAAATTAACATTTTAGTCTCTTAATTTCCAGTCTTTAGATTTACTTTTTTTATATTATATAGTAGGCAACAAACAAAATTAATTAGTTAATACTTTCAACTATTAATTGTTAAAAGGAAATGGCTAGAATACCAGAAGGAGTTACAGTTAAATGTGAACTTGAAAAGCCCTCTGGAATATGGTACTGGTTTTTGCATTTTTCCAATAATTTGGAATCTATGAAACTCACAAATATCTTTAACATTTGGAAACCCATACACAAAGCCTTTAAACAGTTTTGTGGTCTTGATTCTTAAAAATATACCTTAAAATGTAGATCCATGTAATTGTTTAATGATTTGTCCAAAATAATACATGTATACCATATCTTTACTAGTTGATTGCTTGAGATTCTCGAGTTGGAAAGATACTAATATCCAGTCATCAACGTTTACTTCATTTTCTTTGTCTATAGGGATTACATTTTTGAATGTTATGCCATGTTTCACTACCTGAGGTTCTGAAGTAGTATGGAGAACATTGCTTAATGACATTTCAGGTTCATCTGTATCTGATGAACTTTCATGAGGTATTTCTGTTCTTAGTTCTAAGTCACTATCCAGTATCAGACACAGTTTCAACACTTTTCCCTGGTTCTACCTGTAATCTTTTTTAGTTTTTATTGGTGTACTGTTAGTTGACCTCGTACTTGTTAAGAAATCTAAAAGTGAATTGTTTATGCTATCTCCACTTTGATTTGCATCACAGCTATCATACGGCAACATAGTTAGGACTCTGTCTCTGTTAAATGGAACTATACCACATTTATTAAAACCAGCTTTTATATAATTTACACCATTTTCATTGAGTTTTAGTACAAGTCGTTTCAATAACATAGGAAAACGATCCTTAGGAATAGATATTTCATGAGCCCCATCAGTTTTTTTCCAATTTTCTAAAATGTTTCTCCAGTGCATTTTCAGTGGTCTAAAAAAGGCCACATCAAGTGGTTGGGTTAGATGCGTGGAATTGGTAGGTAGGAATATAAATTTAATATTACATTTTTGGCAAATTTTAATTGAATCAGTGGAAAGATGACTGGACAAATTATCTCCAATTAATATTTTTGTCCCAGAAAGTTTAGATAAATATAGAATAGCAATTGTTTTAATCCAATCGTCAAAACAAAAACTGTCGAACCAACCAGATTTAGTACGATTAAGACGGGTATGTTTAGGACCACCAATTCTCCATGTATCACTTATATGTTTTGATCTATATACAACATATGGAGGTAAGAGTACTCCATCAGCTGCAGCAGCAAACATTACTGAAGTTGAAGCTTTACTGTTATTCATAACACGTTCAGGGTATTTCGATCCACGCTTTGTAATTACTTTACGTCTACCGGGGTCATCGGTTAAATTGGTTTCATCGTAGTTAACAATAGGAGGAATACCTCCATACATCTAAAGATATCTCCAGGTTGTCAAAGTAATTATTTAACGTTTCTCTAGTAATAGCTGCTCTGGAACGTTTTATGTTTTGACATAACCTGAGAGCTAGTTTGGTTTTGTGCCTAGTCAAAAAACCATTTGCCCAATCTTTTCCAGGCAAATTGTTTTTATTGAATTGCCTCACCTTCTTACCACGTCGATACAGTTATCTTTTAACCACCATTCTAATATCATACCTATCCAATGGATAGCCCCATTCTGCACAAAGAGACTGGCATGATACTATATCATTTTCTTCTTCAATGGAAAGTGCAGTTTGTCCACCTTGTGATTTCATGTCTGGATTTTTGACATGGCGGAAAAGTACCGAATAATGAATGCCATACACTTCACTAGCTTTTCTATAAAAAAAAATAGGAAGTCCGTCTTTACCAATAATGAGCTTGATCTCTCGCTGTATTAGATTATTAGGTAAAAAGTGACGAATAATACCATTTTCCAGACCAAAGTCATAATATTTACCAGGTTTAACTTCGTACATATTTTGTATTGTTACTGGTTTAGTACCTAATAATATTCTTGCATCTTTAGGCAACATGGAAAAACATAAATGCTTTTTTAATATACATAAAAGATCATTAATAGAATTATGTGCATTAATGCCAATTGAGATATTTCAGAATTAATAAAACTAAACATACTGCTATAATTATCTGGCCCTGATGTACTACTATCTGACTCATTTTGTAATGATACATAATTATTTGTATTATTTGAATTGATACATTCATAATCTAAATGGTCAACATCTACATGCGGTGAACTTATTACAGTTTGTGGACAT